ACATCTGTTATTTATCCTAGCTATCCTGCCCCCAGCAAGAGGCTTAGGCAACCTGGTTTTATGAAGATGCATGCAATCTCAATTGATTCTGATCATACGGAGTAATTATAGGGTGGATTGGGTATCTGTGGTGTTTTGATGGAGCTGGCTTGGCTATTAGAGCACTCCTGTTCCCGTTGAAGAAAACTCCGCAGAAGGTGCTAGAGCTTTTTCTTAGGACAACTATTAACAAAAATGGAATACCATGCAGTGGTGGATTCATAGGTATGCGCAAAATGCAGTTTTAGGGCCCCCTGAAGCTGAGGGCCCCACAAGTTATTAATATGCATTGTTAACTGAGAGAATACATCCGAAGCATAATTACAATGCATTGCCATTGCTGAATTATAGTATTTGAATCTTTTGCATTGTTTGCACTCTTCATTTCTCCTGCTTCCCAATTAAAGTCAGTGGAGGTTGGTTCACCAGTTTCAGAGGTGCTGTTATTATAAACACCACAGCAGGAATTGTTCCCAAGGGGCAGGGGGAAATACATGCAAAGACAGAAATATTATTACTGTCATCTCCTCATGCACCCCATATTTTCACATAGTTGCATTAATTAAGGTAAATGAATAGGGTCACCCAAAAATGTTTTGCACAGGGTCTTGCAGATTATTAATCTGCCATGGACACCATTACTTTAAACTCCATTTGAAAATCTATTGCTGCAATTGATCAGAGAAAATAATTTTAATTCTATCTGAATTAAAGAGAGATCAACTGACATAGAGGAAAAAATGAGGAAAGAGTCTATTGAAAACCTAATATTATAGTGCAACAAACTGAATGGGAATGGTTGTTCAAATTCATACTAGTAACTCTAATTAGTACCATAGAATCATAGAATCATAGAGTTGGAAGAGACCACAAGGGCCATCGAGTCCAACCCCCTGCCAAGCAGGAAACACCATCAGAGCACTCCTGACATATGGTTGTCAAGCCTCTGCTTAAAGACCTCCAAAGAAGGAGACTCCACCACACTCCTTGGCAGCAAATTCCACTGTCGAACAGCTCTTACTGTCAGGAAGTTCTTCCTAATGTTTAGGTGGAATCTTCTTTCTTGTAGTTTGGATCCATTGCTCCGTGTCCGCTTCTCTGGAGCAGCAGAAAACAACCTTTCTCCCTCCTCTATGTGACATCCTTTTATATATTTGAACATGGCTATCATATCACCCCTTAACCTCCTCTTCTCCAGGCTAAACATGCCCAGCTCCCTTAGCCGTTCCTCATAAGGCATCGTTTCCAGGCCTTGGACCATTTTGGTTGCCCTCCTCTGGACACGTTCCAGTTTGTCAGTGTCCTTCTTGAACTGTGGTGCCCAGAACTGGACACAGGACTCCAGGTGAGGTCTGACCAGAGCAGAATACAGTGGCACTATTACTTCCCTTGATCTAGATGCTATACTCCTATTGATGCAGCCCAGAATTGCATTGGCTTTTTTAGCTGCCGCATCACACTGTTGGCTCATGTCAAGTTTGTGGTCAACCAAGACTCCTAGATCCTTTTCACATGTACTGCTCTCAAGCCAGCAAGAAGGAAAAATAATTTCAGAACAACTGACCAATGGTAAACGTAAAGGACCCCTGACAGTTAAGTCCAGTCGCGGACGACTCTGGGGTTGTGGCGCTCATCTCGCTTTACTGGCTGAGGGAGCCAGCGTACAGCTTCCGGATCATGTGGCCAGCATGACTAAGCTGTTCCTGGCGAACCAGAGCAGTGCATGGAAACGTCGTTTACCTTCCTGCCGGAGCGATACCCATTTATCTACATGCACTTGATGTGCTTTCGAACTGCTAGGTTGGCAGGAGCAGGGACTGAACAACGGGATCTCACCCCGTCGCAGGGATTTGAACCGCCGAGCTTCTGATTGGCAAGCCCTAGGCTCTGGTTTGCCCACGGCAATGGTACTTTCCCCCGTATAGAATGAATAAAATATATTGCCAGCACCTGCTTTGTAGGACGTGCATTAAAATAAAAACATTCTGGGCCACTGAATATAATACAAGAAACAACAGGATATGACTTTTTAAATTCCAAAAACAAGTCTTCTGTGCATGATACGGTCAGGAGTTAGAAGCACAGATCTTCAGCTGGCACGCTTATTGGCTGGTGTTAAACTTTGCATTACCTACCAATGGGTGGGGGGGATCCTTTGGCTATAACAGACTAGTTGAGAAAATTCTGGGAGATAGCATTAATGACAAAACAAACATCCAAAAGAAAAGCTTTAAGTAGTAGCCAATAGGACTAATTCACTGAGATAAAGGCTTTGTTTATCCAGTTCTGGAATGAACAAATAACAGACAACATTTCCCCATATAGGCTCTTTCTCCTTAAAATTGCTGTTTATTGCTGTTTATTTCCCCTGGTCTCTTCAGGATTTTTTCTTTCTTTCTACACATTCATTTCTTTTCTCTCTCTTACAATTTCCATTGTAAAAGCAAATTATAAAAATGTGGTGATGAAACAAAACGTGTCATTTGAATTTCTACTATGCAGAAGACTGAGGCTGTTTCTGAGTGTTTTTTAAAATGGTGTCCAAAGATCCATTTTCTACCTCATGAGTACAAAATATTTATCAGAACTCTTTCAGCTCTTTTCACTATCTGAGTTTAGGTAAGTGGTGACCATGGAGAGGTTTTATTGCTTGTGGTTTGTTTGGCACTCACCTTGACAAGTCTTCGGTGTCAGGTGAGGTGGTATTTGCCCAGGTATTTTTGCATGTTTTATAGTTGTTTGCTGTTGCTTTTACTGTATTGTGACTGTTGGATCTTGCTGATATGTTGGAAATTGTTACTTTCTGTGGTATTCTTGTTCACCTTATTATTTTATTGTGTGCATATGAACTTTGGACATTTTGTTAATCAAAGATGAAAATGAGATGAGTATTTATATTAAGCAACAGTACCGCTTTTGACAACAGGAAAAGCAATTTCCTAAATCAAACAAAAGAGGGGAAGAGAGGAGAAAGATTGACTTATATGGTTAATTTTAAAAATCCCATGCTGTGGGTTGGAGGTTAAATGTGGAGTCTGTTTCTAAAGAGGCTGCTGGAGACTGTATTGCTTGAATTAAGAAAGGCAGCAATCTGTAGTAGCAATGCTGTTAAAATGATTATTCTCCCGAGGAGCAACAATATCCAGAGGGTCATTGGTGGTAGTTTTTCACCACATCTCTCAAAAATGGCTAAATTTTCAAACCAAATATTTAAAACTATTCATTCGCTTCATTCCTGAATCTAAAATTTCCCACCATTTGTTCCAGATTTTTGTTTTGTTTTTTGCATCTGTCTGTGCTGTTGTGTGCCGTGCTTGCTACAAATTTATGGGGTGCCAATCATGAAGGGTCAACTGATTTCATGGGATGGATCCAAAAGAGGGGAAATAATATGGTAGATTATTATGAGCGTGAGGCACACAATAGAGTAGCCTGTTAAGAGCTGACCACTTTCTACTCAGTGGCCATGTGGGTTAACCCACAATGCTATGCCGTCTTCCACAGCCACTCAGAGGGCCTGGTAGTCAGACACTCCACTTTTGTATATATGTTCCTGATTCCGCTCATGAAATGGGTGGGAAATATAGGTGGATTGTGGGTAAGAAGATCTCTCATGTAGATAAACGTGGTAGAGACAGTTTGAACACTGTAGAGAGAGTGATGATGGAGGAAGGAGGATAGCTCAAAACTTGTGTCACATTATCACACTGAACACGTGACCAATTCCTGAAATACATTTGGAGGGTCTACACCACCACAGGTGCTGCTATGTGGTTAGTTTGTCAGTGATTGCCCCATTGCTCCTGATGTGGCTCCCTCCCAGATGTTGGTGAGTTACAACTTCCATCCGCTCCCAGCCCAGTCAGCATGGCCAACGGTCAGGGATTATGAGTGCTGGCATCCAGGAACATCTGGAGGGGACCACATTGGCTACACCTTGCTCTGTAGTGACAGCGTTGGCAGAGAAGGGTCTCCTTTCTGTTGGATGTTCCAAGGATGGAGTATCAGTATGGCACATACATCACCTTGGAGACTCGTCCCCAGAAACCTGCAGTAAGGGATAATTGCCTGACTCTTGCTATTGTGCTTTGTCAGGGATCCTTTGAAGCAGAAGTTGTGATTAATGAGCAAGGCGCGATACACAGAACACAGCGGCAGCTGCCAGGTATTCAGCATCCCAGAGTGCTTTTCATCTCCCCCCTCAACAACTGAATGTTTTCAAGTGGGTCTGTGGCAAGTCAGAGCACCCTGCGGATAATTTGCTGTTCTCTCAAATGAAGTAGGGCAAGGAGTGTGAAATGCTTTAAAACAGAGCCCGTTTAATCAGTTGTGCGGATTCATGTCAGAAAGGAAGGGCACAAACTGAAAATAGAGCTAGCAGCACTGCAGGCAGAAAGTTCCCCTTTCCCAGCCATTCACAGATTCTTTCCTTCAGTTGAGTTCATTTTAGATGCTAAGAAAATGATTCATACTGCGAGGTCTTGTAGCTGTCAGAAGGAGAAAGCATGTGGGAGAAGAGTCATTTGCTGCATGCATCTTGTACAGCACTTGCTAGTTAAAAATATTAAGTTGAATAGTCCAAGTATTGCTCTTGCCTGGAAAGTAGAAACCTGCAGTCAAATATTCTGAGATGCTCAGTCAGTAGAGTATGAGACTTAATCTCAGCATCATGGGTTCAAGCCCCACATAGGGCAAAAAATTCCTGCATTGCAGGAGGTTGAACTAGATGACCCTCTTGGTCCCTTCCAACTCTACAGTTCTATGAAATGAAAGGTTGCTTAGTTCAACTCCTACTGTATATGACATCCAGTACTATAACCCATTATAACTTTGCTCTTATTGCCCCCTGAGCATTATCAGATCAAACACCCCTCCGTATAAGGATTTTATCAGATTTAAAACCTTTGAGGTTTTAACTCTAACCAAACTGAGAAATAACCGAAACAACAACAACAAAATTCCTTCCAGTAGCACCTTAGAGACCAACTAAGTTTGTTATTGGTATGAGCTTTTGTGTGCATGAACGAAAGCTTTTTGTGTTTTAGACGAAAGCTCATACCAATAACAAACTTAGTTGGTCTCTAAGGTGCTACTGGAAGGAATTTTTTTAATTGTTTTGGCTACAGCAGACCAACATGGCTACCTACCTGTAATGAGAAGTAACCCTTTTGGCAGACAGGTTTGTTCCCTGAATGACTGGGATGTTTGTGAACATACAATGCCATCAGCACAGTCAATCTACACCAGAAGCTTTACTCCTAAAGTACAAGGTGATGAAATAGAGAAGCAAATTACTTGGATTTTTTAAAATATATGCTTAGTGCCACAGTTCTTGTCATAGAATGGGTATCAGGGCTGGCCCAAGACATGTTGGCACCTGAGGCAAACCACAAAATGCTCCCACCCCTGTCTGGAAAGAAGGGCTGATTTACCTCAGGAATGGAGTAGGGGGAATCAAATCAACCTTACCTGATGGTTGAAGTGGGAATTAAAGCCTGCTGGGGAGCGGCCTGCTCTGTGTCACGCTGGGGTGGTGCAGACCCCAGGAGACCCCAGAAGGCAGCCCCTGCTATTTTCTTCCCAGTGGTGGGAGACCAACAGCACCTCCTGTTCACCAAGAGGCCACTGAAGAGGTGGCATGGGGGGAAGGCTGCAGATCTGGCCTCCAAGAAGGATGCCACAGTCATCGTGGCAACTGTGGAGGCGGAGGTGGCAGCAGTAGCAGGCAATGCATTAACTGGAGGTTGGATCTGTTGTCCTTGTGGATCCTGCTGCCTGAGGTGGTCACCTCACCTTGCCTCATGGGTGGGCCACTCATGACTGGTATGAGACTGACTGTGGACATGCCCAGCTGTCTTGAAACAAGACCAGCCTGCAACACCTCAACTTACTGCTACCACCTCTTTATTAATTTGCTTCCCTGGTGAGAAATGTTAATGTGATAATCTCAAAGAGATGTACCATATTTTTCACTCTATAAGATGCACCAGACCATAAGACGCACCTAGTTTTTGGAGGAGGAAAACAAGAAAAAAAAATTCCGAATCCCAGAAGCCAGAACAGCAAGAGGGATCGCTGCTTTCACTGCTGCGCAGCCTGCATTCGCTCCATAAGACGCACACACACTTCCCCTTACTTTTTAGGAGGGGAAAAGTGAGTCTTATAGAGCAAAAAATACAGTGTTGCTTGCATCCCAATCTCCAAGTGACCAGATACTCCAGGGGTTCCAGCACTTTCCCAGGGTTTGGTTTCCTTGCATTTGCCTCTCATGGCTGCTTCAAATCTTTTTTTAAAAGATCATGAAGAGACTGTTAAGCATACCTGCCACGTCTGGCTCTTACCAGCTACTTTTCTGTGTGTTTGGGCCACTATTAAAGGTTCATGAGGTGAGGGGAGAAGGTGCAACCATATAATGTGGGCCAAGACCATGGAAATACTGCTTCAATTCTTCTTTTAAGTTAATATGCTTATTTCCCCAGAAGACACAAAATTTAAACGTCAGCCAGTGAACATAGCAGGAGCCTTTGTTGCTTTGTGAGTCAAGATGATTGCAGTTTGGAAACTTTTTTTTAAACAGAACACCACTTTTGATCTTAGTGCTCTTTATGCAGAACATAAGCTCATTATTAAATTACCGTATATTCTAGTAACATTTCAGGTTATTTTTTACAATGAATATTTGCGGTATTAAGAGTAATCCTTACCAATGAATAGTTTCTACATTGGTGCAGGGGTGTACAATGGTGTTTTAAATAGCTTAAACTCTTTATGTGGGATTGAAAGGGGGGGGGGATTTCAACTCATATCTGAATATTTGCCACCCACCACTGAACCACCTACTGATTCAAGTATGCAAATCTGTTAACTGTGCTACCAGCTGCACTAGAAGAACTCCAGCCCAGGAAACACTGCACACTGCGAAAATAACAGATAATATGGAACTGCTTGAATATTGGCCTGTGAGAGGTCAAGGACAGAAAAGGGCCTCCATGAGGCAATTCTGCTTGTTTACAGAAGTTCATCTACTGCTTCACTCAGAATCAATAATCCTGCAGCTGCATCTGTCTGCAGATGCAAAATGCCCTCTACCCTGGAAGGAAGCCACCTGTCAGTCCTAAAGCATTTGACCTGCAGTGCTGTCCTCCAGCCAAGCCAGAGGGTTGGTTTTTCAATCTCTGTGCGCCTGTGCGCTGTGTATCTAGAAATATGCTTGCACTGGTGATGGGACTTCTAATCGTTTGATTTTTATTACTAATCATCCTTCTCATTTTCTGTTTATGAGCAAAAATTATTTACATTGCCTGTAGGTTAGCTCACCAGCAAGGAATTTACCAGACCAGAGTCTCCCTGCACCCCACCTCTTGGAGGAGGGGGAGTCCAGTAGAGTTGTCTTGCAAGTTTATTCTGGGCATGAAGAAATTATACTTGAGCACTAAAACAAGATGTCCTACAAGACAGGGAGGGGGGTGGCTCTTTGCAGGTTTTGCAAAACACTAATAATAGTCAAGCCCTGCCCCCCCCCCCAAATTGCTCATGTGGGGCAAGCAGTGGCTTGGGAAAGGATTTGTCTCAGGATGGTGGCAGGAGGGGAACAGGTTAACCACTCTTCCTCCAGAAATACAACCCAAAACCAAATGGAGCCTTTGGACCTGCTATTACTTTTTAAACTTGCTATACCTTATTCTTGTACCTCCACATCGTGTCTGGTTTGGCAAGAACATAGGAAGTGCCTTGCTCAGTTAGGCCCAGGCCATTCTACAGCCAAGCTCTTGATGCAACTGCTTATTTTCTGACTTTTTCTTAGACTTGGAACGAACCTAAGGTTTTATGTCACTAATTTCTCAGACTACTACACTACCCATCCAATGATGTGAAAAAGCTTTCCTTCCTCGCAATAACAAAAGATTTCTGCTTCTGATCTTAACCTTGTTTTTCCCTCTATTCCTGCCTCGCCCACCATGTACACACTAATTTCGGGAAAGGCCGGCTGGGTCTCCCATGTGGAGAGTGTCAATTCGGCCCTGCAGAGCAGTGACGTTGCTTGGCTTCCCACATGCATTCCCACTTAATCACGTGCCAAAAATAGCACCGAAAAGTGGTGGGGCGGAATGGGAAAATCCCCACTTATGCGTGTCCTGTAACAGAACCTCAGCGTAAGTGGCTTCCACAGGGGAGCTGCAGAAAAATGTGGATGGTCAATGTTATATACTGAAGTTCTCACCCTGGGCCAGCAGGGGGATACTGTAGATGGTTTTCACTCAGGTGCACATATGCAAATAAGGGATTGAAAGTGACATTCAGTGATTGGATAGTTACAGAAAGTGTTACAGTTGCGTTGTTGTGGAGCTCTATATAAGCAGGCTGGCTGAACCCTTCAGTTCAGTTCTGTTCTGGCCTGTGAATAAACAAGAGCTGTTTGAAGAATTGCTGTGTCGTCTGATATGTTCACCCACAACTTAACAGTCAAGAGAGCCGTGGACTCAAAAATGTTGAAAACCACTGATTTAGGCAACAGGATAAAGGGATAGGACTCCAATACTGGAAAAAGCAGTTTTCAGAAACCAGTGGGAGAACATTTCAACCCACCACTATGCAACTGTCCTTAAAGTGACAGTTCTTAGAAAAAAGGAACATCAAACAGCTCCCGTCACATGTTATTTGTGTGAATGGGCAATTCAGGTAGAAATTGCCTGACGTTAGTGTGGATGCTTAAGGTGCAAAAGTCTCCTTCTGTGGACTTCCGTGGTTGTTCTAGGTTCCAGGACTTGGGTAAAAATACACACAGGCTTCCCCAATTAAGATGATCACCCTAATGTGTGAATAGCAGCATCAGGGCCAGCTGCACATCACTGGGGACAGGGATGCAGCCCTTTGTACCTGTTATGCCTTCACTTGAGTAATGTATAACGAGGGCTAAGAAGTTCAGTGCTGCTACCAGTGGCCTAAATTTAGATAATGGGGTCTCCTCCCACTTACCAATGTTAAAATGTCTGTGTTATCATAAAGAAATAAGGTTGCCATGTTTTGAAGAGCAAAAAAGAAGACACATTTGCCGGCTTCTACTTTTAACTATGGATCTCTATGGCAACTCTCATCATGAAAAAGAAGACTTGTCCTGGAAAAAGAGGACATATGGCAACCATTTGCATAAGAAAATAGTAACTCCATATAGCTTATGAAGTGGACTCTAATCCACAAGAGCTTTTGCCATAATAAATCTGTTTGTCTTTAAGATATGACAAGACCTAAACATGTCTTTAAGTTACACTATAAATAAAGTCCAGCCAAAGATGCACAAGGTTTGAATAAGGGTCACTTACAATCTTAGGTTTGGGGAAACTCAGTCTGACTGAGAGCGCAAGAGAACATCCATGTTGAGAACACTGCACTTTCGACTGTGGACAGGACAGTGCCAGTCTGGTCACTGCATATATCAGAAGTATGCAATTAAGAAAACTCATTTTCTGTTCCTGTGGATTAAAAGACATACAAGCCCCAAAAATACATCCTATGTAGCTGCAGCACTTATTGGTACAGTAAAAAGGTAAAGGTAAAGGTACCCCTGCCCACACGGGCCAGTCGTGTCCGACTCTGGGGTTGCACGCCCATCTCGCTTAAGAGGCTGGGGGCCAGCGCTGTCTGGAGACACTTCCGGGTCACGTGGCCAGCGTGACGAAGCTGCTCTGGCGAGCCAGCGCAGCACACGGAAACGCCGTTTACCTTCCCGCTATAGAGTGGTACCTATTTATCTACTTGCACCTAAGGGTGCTTTCGAACTGCTAGGTGGGCAGGAGCTGGGACCGAAAGACAGGAGCTCACCCCGCCGCGGGGATTCGAACCGCCGACCATACGATCGGCAAGTCCTAGGCACTGAGGTTTTACCCACAGCGCCACCCGTGTCCCAATGGTACAGTATATGCTATCAAATGCCCTTCTAGGAAATCATATCTTGGTCAAATTACAAGAGCTTTTGAGAAACGTAGAAAGGAAAACAATAATATAATATAATATAATATAATATAATATAATATAATATAATATAATATAATATAATATAATATAAAGCTGGAGCCTCTCAGGGAATGTTTTTGGACCATAA